TCAATAAAGCAGTGAAAACGCATCATTTTTACTTTGCTGGTTTTGCATTGCATTGAGGGACCGTGCCCATTCCCCTGAACAGCACACGGTGGAGCCACTGGCTGGAACCTATCACGGGTGGCAGCGGTGGGGACTGGGGAACGTGGTCTTCAGCCCGGAAGCCGAGTGCGCAGCTGAACTCTGTTATGGCGGAAGAGGAGAATGGAGGTCGGGGAAGAGCTGGCAGTGCCCATCAGGGATGGAAAAGAACGGAACAGCTGAGTGAGATACCGGGCAAGGCTGTGATCTGAAGGCCACACGGCCCCTGTGGGGACAGCCTGGCCACGAGGACAAGCCTGGGCCGACCTGAGTGGCAGGGGAGACGGAGAGACAGAAGCCCAGTGCCGGGTGGATGCAAGTCCAGCCCTGGACCCGAGATGGAGACAGACCAGAGAGGCTAGAGGGGCCGCTGTAGCGTGGGAGGAATGCGGGGCTCCGGCCAGGTGCTGGTGGGAGGTCCTGAGGGTTCGGCTTCCCTGCTCAGAGCAGCTCCACCGAGCGAGCGCAGAGGCACAGGTGGGTGAGGGCAAGCGCTTGGTGTCCTGTGTGCCTGCCCTCCTGGTGGTCCTCCGTGTTCCAACTCACTAAATGTCGGTGCTGAGTCACAGCCTGGGCTCCAGCCTCAGGTCCTTCGCTGAGTCCGGCTTCTGCCTGCTGTGTTGTCTCTGCTTCCCAGGGGAGCCCCCCAGTGCCCACATGCACCTGCCTCCCCAGGAGGACCGCCTTTGGAGCAGGTGTCGGGTCAGCAGTAAAGCCACCCGCACCCCCATCCGACCACCTGGCTTCCACTCCTGGCTCCGGCTTCCTGCCACTGCAGACCCTGGGAGATAGCAGTGATGGCTGAAGTACCTGAGTTGCTGCCATTCACGTTCAAGACCGGATTCAGTTCCTCATTATTGGCTTTGGCCCAGCCCCAGCTGTTACAGGCACTTGGTGAGCGAAACAGCAGATGGAAGATTCTCTCTCTCTCTCTCTCTCTCTCTCTCAAATAAATAAAAATAAAGTAAAACATGGCCATTTTCTCCCTCATGTTCTATGGCAGAGACTGTTGATTTATGCCCAACAGCTTCTCTCTCTCTCTCTCTCTCTCTCTCTCTCTCTTTTTTTTTTGAAAGGCCAGAGCTGGGCTGATTGAAGTCAAGAGCCAGGAGCTTATTCCGGGTCTTCCAATGTGAGTGCAGGGGCCCAAGGACCTGGGCCATCTTCCATTGCTTTCCCAGGCCATAGCAGAGAGCCGGATCAGAAGAGGAGCAGCTGGGACATGAACGGGCACCCATATGGGATGCCGGCACCGCAGGCGGAGGCCCAGCCCACTATGCCACAGCGCTGGCCCCGATCAAATCTTTTAAAAACACTTTCCTCTTGGGGCTGGTGCTGTGGTGCAGCGGGTCAACGCCCTGGCCTGAAGCGCCAGCATCCCATATGGGTGCTGGTACAAGACCCAGCTGCTCCTCTTCCAATCCAGCTCTCTGCTATGGCCCGGGAAAGCAGTAGAAGATGGCACAAGTGCTTGGGCCCCTGCACCTGTGTGGGAGACCCAGAAGAAGCTCCTGGCTCCTGGCTTCGGATCAGCACAGTTCTGGCAGTTGCGGCCAATTGGGGAGTGAATCATTGGATGGAAGACCTCTCTCTCTCTCTCTCTCTGCCTCTCCTTTCTCTGTGTAACTCTGACTTTCAAATAAATAAATAAATCTTAAAAAAAAAAAAAAACCTTTCCTCTTACCCCGTACAGGGACGGACCATTTTCGGATGATGCCCCATTGTCGTAGTCATCCCCTGCTCCATGCTGCACAGGGAGCAGCACAGTGTTTGAAATACGAGGACATGTGTGTGCCTGCCCTTCCTGTAAACTCCACCCTGTGGCCGGCATGCCCCTGGGCTGCACGAGGTGATGCACAAGGAGTCCTGGCGATCAGAGCAGGCCGAGCCCCGAGACACCTGCCGTGAGGCCCCTGATTCTCTGCATCCAGCAGACCGTTTGAGCCAGAGGGAAGCTGCCTGGCCCCAGCCAGCAGCTGCTCCATGTGTGCAGCTGTGTGAGACATGGGGAGACAGCTACAGCTGCGAGCGGTGCCTGAGTGTACGTGTGTGCAGGCGTGTGCATGTGTGCTCCCGGCTGTGTCACTGACATGAGTCCTAACTGGCCTCCCTGCATTTGGCCTTGATGCCCTCCATCTGTCCTGACACTCAGTGCTTCTCTTACACCAGAAGTCACTCCTGCACCCGAAGCTCTCATCTCCTTCTGAGCAAAGCCAAAGCTTTAAGGCCCTGCACGATCTAACCCCTGCTGCCTCCCTCATCTGATCTGCTGCCCTCTCCTGCCAGCTTCCTCCATCACTCACTCCACTCCAGCCACATGGGCCACCTTGCTGTGCCTCCACCTGCCAAGCAGGCTCCTACGTCAGGGCCCTTGCACGTGCTGTTTGCTCCACCTGGAACCATCTTCCCAAGAGAACCTCCTGGTTTGCTTCATCACTTTCAAACACCAGCTTACAGGTGAGCCCTTCCCACACCCCCGCACGCCATCCACCTTACCCTGAATTGCGTCTGTAGTACTTACCATCAGTCAGCCATTTGCTTGCTTGTTTATTTTCTATTTTTTGCCACCAGAGTAGGTTTTTCCTTTTTGTTCTCTGTTTTGTCCTGGCATCCAGAGCACTGCCTGGCACACAGTGGGGCTTAAGAAGTGCACATTGGAGGCCGGTGATGTGGCATAGCGGGTAGAGCTGCCGCCTGCAGTGCCGGCATCCCATATGGGTGCTGGTTTGAGTCCCGGCTGCTCCACTTCCCATCCAGCTCTCTGCTATGGGTTGGGAAAGCAGTAGAAGATGGCCCAAGTCCTTGGGCCCCTGCACCTGTATCAGAGACTTGGAAGAAGCTCCTGGCTCCTGGCTTCAGATCACCACAGCCAATTGGGGAGTGAGCCAGCAGATGGAAAACCTCTCTCTAACGCTGCCTCTTTAAAAAAAAAAAAAAAGAAGAAGTCATATTGGATGAGGACTGGATGGCTTTTGCTGCCTGGCGACCTGCTGTCTGGAGGGCTCTGGGCAAGAGGCCCTGCCTGAGGGTGGAGGCAGTGGACTGGCCCTGCCCATCACTCAGCACAGCAGGGGCCTGTGTATGGGGGTGGGGACAGGTGGGCGCTGGGTGTAGACTAAACCTCTGAAGATGAGTGTTATGGGCCACTTTGTCTTTTGTGTTTTTTTGAAAGGCAGAGTTACAGAGAGCGAGAGAGAAAGAGAGAGAGTATTTTCCACCCACTGGTTCCAAATGGCCTCAATGGCCAGGGCTGGGCCAGCCAAAGCCAGGAGCCTAGAAGTCCATCCAGGTCTCCCACATGGGTGGCAGGGGCCCAAGCACTTGGGCCATCTTCCGCTGCTTTCCCAGGCCACAGCAGGGAGCTGGATAGGAAGTGGAGCAGCCAGTGCTCCAATATGAGATCCTGGCATCGGCGGGCAGCTGCTTAACCTGCAGTGCCATCACACCAGCTCAGTCCACCCCGTCTTGATGATGGCCCTTCAGTTGGGCAAGGGGTGTGGCCAGTTGGGGTCCAGGTCCACGGCCAGCCTGACCTGGGTGGCCCTGCTAGGACGGGGCCAAGGGTTCCTTAGTGAGTCTGGCCCCATTCTCTTCAAGGACAAGTTGGAGGCAGGTCCTGGCCTCGTCTGTGATAACAACTGGTCCTGACGTTTCTCCCTTCCCCACTGTCAGCCCAGCCACGTCCCACAGCCACCCAGCCCCGCATCGATGGTGGCGGTGGGCCAGTGGGTGCGGCTGGCGAGCCCATCGATCCTCCCCACGGATCAACAAGTTAATCAAGTCTTCAACGAGAGGGTGGTGATTAATGAACCAATCAGCTTGCCTTGTAATTGGGAGTGGAGGTGGAGGGAGGGGGTGACGGCTGGCTCGCTCCTGCTCCGCGCCATGGGGCCCCTCGGTCCTGGTCACCTCGGCTTGAAAAGTCAACAGTAAGTGGCTCTTCCGAGCCTACCAGAGCTCAGGCCTTCCACCTCCCCCACCGCCTCAGACCCGCACCCTGCGGCTAGAGGGGCTGGGGTCTCAGTTCCCCGCGCATCTCTCTGCTGGGTAGGGGATGGTACCCTAGAAAGCCCCCACCTCCTCCCGGCTGGTGCTGCTGGCTCACAGGAGCCAGGCGTCCCCACTCTCGGGCACCCCTGCCCAGGCTTGTGTCACTCTGGGATCAGGGAAGGCCTCCGATGGGGACCTCAAGGGACACTGGAGGCCTCCAAGGAAGGCTCTGCGTCTCCGTGTCCTGGCGTCCTCTTCCTCCTCCGCGCTCAGCGAGGCACCGTGGAGTTTCTTGGGATGTGCAAGGCCCCTGGGGCCTGCCTGCCTGATAAGGCGCCATTTCCGGAGGGTGCAGGTGACTGAACCCATAAAAAGGTGATTGAAGGAGCCCTGACGCACCATCTCTGCACGCTCTAAAAATAGACCCGCAGCCATCTGTACTGGGGAGAGGGGGCGGCCCAGAAACAGGACAAACCCGGACACGAGGGCCCCTCCTGCTCTGCTGGAGGCTCCGGCCAGGCTGGGGGAGAGGAGGCGGGGAGGGGCTTTACGGGGAGGCCCCGCAGTTGCCCTCTCTCCTCCTGGGTGGGGGCAGGTGGGTCTGATGGGAGGTGCAGCCTGGGTTCCTCGCACAGCCCAGGCCTCAGACAGGCGGTGCCCTGCTGCATGTCTGACCACCTGTCTGCCCCTCAGGCTTGGTGCGGCCTTGCCCCGTCCTCTTCCCGTTGGAATCAGGGTGCCCTTGGCTGCTTGCAGAGTTTCAGCTTCCTCATCTGTAAACTGGGGACAGAGTCAGCTCATCCCCTGTCTGAAGTCATTTACCGCCCCGCGCTCAGCAGCTGCGTAGTAAACACTGATCCTTCCTCTTCAAAGGCTCGGGGGAGCATCCTGGCTCCAGAACCCAGTGGAGGCGCCAGTGGCCTGGAGACAGTGGCAAGTGCTTGGGCAACCTTGGCACCACTCAGCTCCGGGAGGCACCGTGCCCTGATGACACCTCGGCTGGGGGCGGGGGACACTTGGGAGGGGGCTCTATGCCAGGCCAGGCTGGAGCCCCATCTATATGTGCCAGGCTGGATGCCCGCGTGCCCGACTCAGCTGCTTCCGCCAGGAGGACCTGCTGCTGCCTCTCTCCCACCAGATCTTGAGTGCAGAGAGCTCACATATCCAGAGGGCCTCTCCCCACGGCATCATAACCGGCAGGTCCGGAGCCCAGGTCACGGGCTCCCTCTACGGCCTTTAGTAGGACTTCCTTCCTAGGTCCAGTCACCCTTGTGCCCTTCTCCAAGGCGAAACCAAGCAGGGGCTGTCTGCAGGGGCGGTCACAGGTCCCACAGGCTGGTGGATCGTGTCCCTCCCACGCCTCACTGCGCCCATGGACGGGCTCCATGGTGAACCATCCCTGGTGCTGGAGGCTGCCCCGGGAATCTAGCTGGGCCCCCTTCACATCTCAGGAGCCCAGACCTGCCACGGGGGGGCTGTGGGTGCACACAGGTGCGCCAGGCACCCTGGTCTGGGACCCGGGGTGTGGTCGCCTGCACCTTGGCTCCTGCGAGGCGCAGACGTCAGGCACAGGCTGGGTGGAAACTCGGGGCGAGGCTGGGCGCGGGTGGAGGGAGGGAGGAGGCAGGGCCCTCCCTCCGCGCTCCCCCTCCCCTTCCAGGCCGGGATATAAGCCCCGCGGGGGAAAGCGCCAGCCCAGCCGAGGAGGCCCCGCAGAGCCGCCCTGCAGCAGCCCAGCCCTTGGGACTCCCCTCCTCTCCACCTCCTGCTCAGCTCGCCTCGGGATCGTCGCTGTGAGTGGACTCGGAGTCCCCTGGTACCGGGGGACCCGCGCTATTTCTTGGGGAAACTGAGGCCGGGTAGCGGGGAGCAGGACTAGCAGGGAGCCAGCGGCGGTGGGAAGCTGAGCCCTCTTCCTCCATCGAAGACGGGGGTAGGGATGGGGAGGCAGGCAAGGCTTCCGGCGCTCTCACAGGTGAGGAGCCGGAGGCCAGGGCGGCACAGCGGCCCCGGACACACAGCCTGCCTGGTCCAGCGCCAGCCCCAGCCAGTCGGCCGGAGCGTGGGTTCGACGGCAGGTGCAGCCTCCCACCACGCTCCAACGCCCCCTTCCCAGATGGTGACGATGCGCAGGCCGTGGCCCGCCGTGGCCGCAGTGCTGCTGGCCCTGCTCGCCTGCCTGGGGACGCTGGTCGACGCCTACCCCTCCAAACCCGAGGCTCCAGGAGAAGACGCCTCCCCTGAGGAGCTGAACCGCTACTACGCCTCCCTGCGCCACTACCTCAACCTAGTTACCCGACAGAGGTGAGCGCATGCGCGGGGCCGGTGGTCCGGGGGTCCCTCGCCCTCTGCCCCGCCCCACCCAGGGGGTGTGGCCAAGCCTGCTCACGTCCCCCGCGGCCCCGCCCCCAGGTATGGGAAACGCGACGGCTCGGAAACGCTCTTCTCCAAACTGCTGTTCCCCGACGGCGAGAACCGTCCCGTCAGGTCTCGGTAAATGCACCCCGCTCAGTATACCCCCTGACCCCTGACACGTGGTCCGGCCCTGCTGCCGCACGGAACCCCCACCGTGGGCCACCACCACCTAAGACGCCCTCGGTCTCTCCGCCCCATATCCGATTGCAGGTCAGAAGGCGCCTACCCGTGGTGAAGACCCCCGAGGCCTCCTGGGAGATATGCTAACTACGCCAACTCATTTGCATATTTGCTTCTGACCCTGGAACCTGGATCCCCCCACAGCCGGTTGCATGTTGGGGGCGGGGTTGGCACGGGGCCCTCTGTGTCCCCGCCCCCTGGGCGGGAGTGCTGCGTGTGGTCCTTCCCCGTCCCAAAATAAAGAGCACATTTCACAGAAACGGAAAGCGTGTGTTGATGTTCCCTCTCTGAGGGTGGCTTCCGGCGGGAGTGAGGGTGGGCGCCAGAGGCCGGGAGAGGAGACGGCCCTAGTCGGGCAGGGGCGGGCGGCAGGCAGGAGGGACGGTGGGAACGTGGCAGCCTAGGAGAGCGGACGGACGGACGGGGACAGGCGAGGCACCCAGGCCCGGGACGCTGACCCCCGAGAGCCGAGGCCGTGGAGGCTTCCCTGGACTGCGGGGTGGGCCGGCGAGGGGCCTGTCTTGCTGGGTGAGAGGTGGGCGGGGCAAGGGAGTGTGGAGCCGCCTCTCCCTCCTCCGGGAATTCACTCCAGCTGGGTAAGTCACTAGCTGTGCCTGTGGCCAGCCATCAGACACCCTCCGTGTCCACACTGCACAAGGCCCTGGGGTCAGTCCAGAGGCACTGCAGATGTTCAAAGTGTCCCCCAAGTCCCCTGACTTCCTTCCTCTCAGTCCCTTTCCTCCAGGAAGCCCGCCTCGGTTGGCCCTGACGTGCATTCTCCCTGCCTGCTGACCGCTCAGCTCTCACTGCTCTGCCACTGCCTGCCCACGGAGTTCCGTCCAGGAAGACGACAGTGGCCCACGTGGGAATGCCTGGGTTTGGTTTCCTGGCTCTGGCTCCTCACTCCGGCTTCCTCCTTGTACAGATCCCTGCCACCCAAGCGGGAGACTTGAGTTCCTGGCACCCCACCTTAGCTGTGGCCCAGCTCTGGCCATTTCGGGCGCTTAGGGAGTGAGCCAGGGATTGGGTGCTCTGTCCAGTGAATTTGAAACAAGAAACAAAGAGGCCGACCCTGTCTCTGTGTCCCCCCTCTGTGTCGCCTGCGGGGTCTCTAAGGGCGGGGCGTCCTGGGCTGAGGCCACAGGCCTAGGTCAGGAGGGCTGCAGGGCACGAGGCGGCTCTGGGAGGGGGACGCAGCCTGCCCTGGGGGCCACAGGCTCTGCCCTCACCTCCCTCCAGCTAAGGCCACTGGGGGCAGGGGCGCCAGGGTGTGTGCCCCAGGGAACACTCAGGCCCCAGAGTGCTTCCTGATTTCTCCAGTGTGCATGCGTGTGTGTGCATGTGTGTGTGTGTGTGTTGGGGGAAGGTGTGCATCTCCGGGGCCTCGCCCCCTCTACTGCCCTTATCTGAGTCCCGTCTTGTCCCCTGTCTTCTCTCCCAGCGGCCGCCTTGAGCTTCGGTTCACTGCGAAGGAGGGGGCGTCTGTGTGTGTGTGTGTGTGGGGGGTGTTCCGGTCCTCTGCCCGCCCACCCGCCTGGAAGACCTGTGCCCAGCCCCAGACTACCGGAAGAGAGGCATGGCGGGGTTCCACGTGGCCACAATTTCTGCCCAGCTTGACCCATCTGGGTGCCCGTCAGGGACACGGGTTCACCTGCCATCCACTGTGAGGCTGGCGAGCAGGTGGCTAATCCTCGGCTGGTCAGACTCCACCAGTGCCAGAGCCACAGGGAGCCTAGGAGGAAGAATCGCGGTGACAGCAGCGACAGCTGTCTTGTTTTTTAAGCACTTAATTATGTGCTAGGCAATGTGTTTCACAAGTATCCTATTGCTAGGATGTTGATTGGCTGTTTTTTTTTTGTTTGTTTTTTTTTTTTTTTTTTTTTTTTTGAGACACACACACACAGCTCCCACTTTCCCACTTGCTGGTTAGCTTTCCAAATGCCCACAGCGCCATCCAGGTCGCCCACGTGGTTGGCAGGGACCCAAGTCCTTGAGCCATCACCTGCTGCCTCCCAGGGTGCACACGAGGAGGGCGCTGGAGTCCGGAGTGGAGCCGGGGCTCCAGCCCTGGCGCTCTGGTACGGAGTGCAGGCTTCCCGACCTGGCAAGTACCCGCTATGCCACCCCCCTTTTTTTTACTGCATGGAGTCATCAGTGGAGCACACAGATGGAAGTTTCATTTGTCCCTTAGGTGAAATGCCAGGGGCATCTGGGGAGCTGGCAGCTGTGCCGCGCGGGGCCTCCGAGAGCCCGGGTTCCTGCCGTGTGCTCTCCCCAGGTGGCAGCCGGCCTGGCCCGTCCCCATCTCAGCTGCATCCGGGCTCCTGGCAGGGCCAGGGCAGGCGTGCAGGCTACTGTGCAGCTTGCAAGAAGCACCGTGTTCCCCTCAGGAACACCCTGGGGGCAGGAGAGGGAGGGGCTCACCTCTCCGTCTCTCCTGGCGTCTCTCATGCTCTTAGGGCCGGAGGCTGGCCAGGCCCGGGGCTATCTGGCTCCCAGGAATGCTCACTTGAACGTGTATGCGGGTGCTGGCTGGCAGTTTGGAGCTTGGGGAGGGAGGTGCTGCTGACCACAGGGCCTGTGCACAGCCTCCAGTGTGACGCTCTTGGGGAGGTGGGAGTTAGCTGCAGCCGGCTTTCCCCAGGGCACACCTGGGGTGGGGTGGGGGTGGGGGGGTCTACATTGCTGTGCAGCGGCCTCCCTCATCGGCCAGGAGCACGCGGCAGGACCCCGGTGGATGCCAGAAGCTGCAGGCTCTCCAAACGCTGTGCTCTTCTCTGCACTCACTCACCTATTATGAAGTTTAATTTATAGGGACTGGCGTTGTGGCGCAGTGGCTTACGCCGCTGCCTGTGACACTGGCGTGATGTATCAGAGCACCGGTTCCAGTCGCGGCCGCTCTGCTTCCGATCCAGCTCCCTGGACCATGCAGCAGAAATGGCCCCCTTGCTTGGGTCCCTGCCACCCGTGTGGGAGACCCGGATGGAGCTCCTGGCTCTGGCTTTCGCTGAGCCCAGTCCTGGCCGTTGCGGCCACTTGGGCAGTGAACCAGCGGATGGAAGCTCTCTCCATCTTGCTCTCTCTCTCTGTCACTCTGCCTTTGAAATAAATAAAATGAAATCTTTAAAAGATTTAATTTATGTTAGCCCAGTAAAAGGAGAATAAGAGTAGCAACAGAGAATTCTTTTTTTAAAAAATATTTTTAAAATTTATTTGACAGATAGAGTTAGACAGTGAGAGAGAGAGAGAGAGACAGAGAGGAAGGTCTTCCCTCCATTGGTTCACCCCCCAAATGGACGCCACAGCCAGAACTATGCCGATCCGAAGCCAGGAGCCAGGTGCTTCTCCTGGTCTCCCATGGGGTGCAGGGCCCAAGCACTTGGGCCATCCTCCACTGCCTTCCCAGGCCACAGCAGAGAGCTGGACTGGAAGAGGGGCAACAGGGACTAGAACCCGGCGCCCACATAGGATGCTGGCACCACAGGTCGAGGATTAGCCAAGTGAGCCATGGTGCCGGGCCCAACAGAGAATTCTAATTCACCATAATCAACGCCGTAACAGCGGTGTGTGACTGTGGGCTCTCGCCAAACACCCCAGTGCACTTCCCCTTCGTGTGCTGGTGTGAGCCGGGGGAGGGGTGCGGCCTGGGCACTGCGGTGCCGCCTGAGGCTGCCCTGGGAGGGTGACTGGAGCCGCGACAGTCAATCCGAAGACCAAGCTGGCTTCTGAGTGACCAACCTGTGGGTAGCAGGACCTCGGTGATATGCTGGCCGAGGGGTGATTCAAGTTCAGGGTTGGACAGAGCCAGAGGTGCGAGACTCATGGAGAGGGCTCCACTTGGGGTGCTCGCATCACACGTCAGGGTGCCTGAGTCGGGGTCTCCGCCTCTGCCCCTGCTGATGTGCAGCCTGGGAAGCAGCAGCGGTAGCTCAAGTCCTTGGCCCCACCTGCCCCTGTGGGAGGCCTTGACTTCAGCTTGGCTGTTGTTGGCATTTGGGGGGGTGAAGCAGCAGGTGGGATCTCACTGTCTGTCTCTCTCTGTGTCTGATAAAGAAAACAAGCAAACAAAGAAATCGGTTGCAATTGAAATCTTATGACTTGTTTATTTCTGGAACTTTCCATCTCATATTTTCTGGCTGTGGCTAACTGCAGGTGACTGAAACCTCACGGCTCCCCGGGAAGGGAAGTGTGTTCATTTGCTGGGGCTGCCGTGACAAAGAACAGAACCGGGGTTCTAAAGGACCTCTCCGGAGGCTGAGCCGGAGCCCGTACCCAGTGCTGCCAGGGCTCAGTCCCTCTGCAGGTACAGACAGGATCCTTGGCCTGAGTTGGGTGTCTTCTCCCTGTGCCCACGCGTCCCCCTCCGCCGTGCCTGCTGCTGTGTCCGGGCTCCCTCTTCTTGACCTCAGGTGAGGGTACACCGGGCTGCACCGCACCCCAGCAGGACCGCTTCCACCTCCCATCCAGCTCCCTGCTGTGCCCTGGGAAGGCAGCAGACGACTTCCCAGGTCCTTGGGCCCCTGCACCCCCATGGGAGACCCGGAAGAACCTCCTGGTTCCTGGCTTTGGCCTGGCCCAGCCCTGGCTGTTGTGGCCATTTGAGGAGTGAACCAGAGGATGGAAGATTCTCTCTCTCTCTCTCTTTCACTCTTCCTTTCAAGTAAATAAACAAATATTAAAAAAAAAAAAAAAACGGACATCTACACCTTAAAATAAGCTAATGACTTTTAAAATATTTAAAAAAATATTTCAAAGGCAGACACATACATACACACGCACAGCTCTTGCATCTGCTGGTTCACTCCCCAACTGCCTGCAACAGCCAGGACTGGGCCAGGCCAAAGGCAGGAGCCCAGAACTCCATCTGGGTCTCCTGAGTGGGTGGCAGGGGCCCAGGTATTTGAGCCGTCCCCTGCTGCCTCCCAGGGTGCACATTAGCAGGAAGCCGGGCAGGAAGCAGAGGCGCTGACCTGGAAGCAGGCACTCTGAGGGGGGAGGCGGGCCTCCGAGTGATGATTTTACTGCCGCACTGAACACCACCACCAGTGAAATCATCTCAAAAAAAGCCATCCCAGGGGCCGCCGCTGTGGCACAGCAGGTAAAGACACGGTCTGCAGCGCCGGCATCCCATGTGGGCGCTGGTTCATGTCCCGGCTGCTCCACTTCCAATCCAGCTCCCTGCTGATGGCCTGGGAAAAGCAGCAGCAGATGACCCAGGTGCTGGGGCCCCTGCACCCATGTGGGAGACCCAGGTGAAGCTCCTGGCTCCTGACTTCAGCCTGGCCTAGACCTGGCCACTGTGGCCATCTGGGGAGTGAACCCGCAGAGGGAAAATTTCTCTTTCTATCTCTTCCTCTCTCTCCTCTCTTTCTGTAGCTCTGACTTTTAAATAATAATAAAAAAAATCTTTAAAAAAAGCCCTCCCAGGGGCTGATGTTATGGTCCGCTTGTGATGCTAGCTTCCCGTATCCTGAAGCAGCCATCTGGGAACTGAACCAGCAGTGGACGGAAGACCGATTCTCTCTCTCTCCCTCTCTCTGTCACTCTGCCTTTTGAATAGACAAACACATGTTTTGAAGGCATCCTGGGTTCCGCACTCAGCCCCGCAGAACGCTCACTTCTCCATTCCCCACCAGCCGAGGTGGCTCCAGTGCGGGGCCCAGGCCAGGTGCACGATACCGACCGCCGAAGGAGCAGAAGGGACTGAGGTCAGGCAGTGGTGAAGGCAGCCTCACAGGCCCAACTCCTGCCCCCGCAGTCCTGACCGCCCCGTCACCTGCCTTCCTTCACCGCGCCTGGTCCTCCACTCCATCCCCAGCACCACCCTATCCAGAGGGCGTGAGGCTGGGCTGGCCCTCAGCCAGGCTGTGTGCAGGTCGGTACCCCGTGCCTTCTCTGGGCAGGGGTACCGCGTGCCTTCTCTCGGCAGGGCTGCCTGGCAAGCACCGCAGGACAGGTGCAGGTGAGCGAGGCCCGCGGCTCTGCTCTGACATGGCCACCTGGCGCAGGAAGCCCACCCATCACCTCTTGTTCTCTGATCCCCACCACGTCCCCGAGAGGGCCCAGGACTCTCATTTGCAAAGGAGAAACCCAAAAGCTACAGGTTTAGTGGACACTTGTGAAGTAGTCTGGTTTACCTCTGCAGCAGGACAGAGCTATCAGCGGCCTCACATCTGCGCCCACCCCTGGATTCCTCCCTGTCTGGTGGGGCTAAATCCTCACCGCTGCTGGTGGTGGTGGTGGTTAGAACTCGGCCCAAAAGGCAGCCATCCCAGGGGGAGCCCGGGCAGCTTGATCTATGGACGAAGCCGGGCGCCCCCTGGTGGCTTGCTGCTGCCTCCACACCGGAGCCACCTGGGACCCGCCATCAGGTCACCATCCTCATGCTGGGAGGTGGGAAACCCAGGCCCGGAGAGGGGGCCCCATGTTTGCTTTGTGGAATGTGAACTGTTGCCTGCTGAGCAGAAATCAGAGCTGGGAGGAACAAGGCAGAACCCCGATGTTTACTGAGCTTTCTTTATTCTTATCTTGAGATGCACAGGATACAACCTTTTTAAAGTTTTATCTAATTGAAGGGCAGAGTTAGAGAGAGAGAGAGAGAGAGAGAGAGAGAGAGAGAGGTCTTCCATCTGCTGGTTCACTCCCCAAATGGCTGCTATGGCCGGAGCTGGGCTGATCCAGAGCCTGGAGTCAGGAGCCAGGTCTCCCGCGTGGATGCAGGGGCCAAGCACTTGGACCATCTTCTATTGCTTCCCCAGGTGCATTAGCTGGGAACTGGACTGGAAGTAGAGAAGCTGGGACTTGAATTGGCACCCATATGGGATGCTGGCACTGCGGGCAGTGGCTTTAACCACTACACCACAGCACAGACCCTGATAAACCCTTTACAGAGAGGAAAATTGAAGCTTAGAGAGGTTAAAGGAATTATTTTCCCAGGCCTTCACAGCTGGTGAGAGGCAGAGCTTGGATTTGGAGCCAGGCCAGTGTGACCCTCCAAGCCCAGCATGCCAGATCCCAGCCTTGCCTCCAGTCCTCTCCCCCAGCCTCAAGTCCACCTGTGGCCCCGGCCCTGCCTGAATATTTCCTATTGTCCAGATCTGGGACAGCAGGAAGCCTGGGGGAGAGGTCCCTTGCTCCCTATGCAGGTGCCAACATGTCGTAGAGGCACAGCCAGGTACTGCTCCTTGTCCTGAGCCAGGGAGGGGGTGGAGGGCTGGAGGGGGGGCCAGTGCAGGGGAAAGACTTGGAGGCTCTGGGAGGGGGGTGGAGGGAGATAGGGGGCTGTGAATCGAGCCAGATTGCAAGACCTGGGCAGCAGCAAGCGCCTCCAAAGTGGGGAGTCACAGCGACACCTGAGCAGCCCATGTGTGACAGCAACGCATGAGCACGGCTTGGGAGTTAGACTTAGTGTCTAGCCCTGATCTCCCACTGGCTGGCTGTGTGCGCTGGGCCAGTTATTTCACATCTCTGAGCATGTTTCGGTCTCGGACTCTGTAACGGGTTGTAGGGACTTGGTGGGGTCAGGGAAGCTGAAGCTTTGCAGGTGGTTTGGCTCACTTCCCTGGAGTAGGGGCTCCAGAGATGGGGGGGCAAATGACCACCAGAAATGGGCACCCCATTTCCCCTGGCCCCAGCACCCTCGGCTCCCACCCAGTGCATTTTTCCATGCTTGGTGCCCCATCCTCACCACATGGCCTGGAACCTGGAGCCCCTTCCCTGTGCCCACCTGCGTCTGGCTGCTCCCTGGAGAAGGCTGGGGGTCCCTGTGGCCTCAATCTTCTTTCAGGGGTCTGGGTTGACTCTTGCATTCCAAGGCCAGCGAGAAGGGTCTGGTGGCGACCCTGAAGTCCCCAAACAGCACTCTTGTGAACCTGGCCTGCACTGGTGCCCCAGGGGTGGGGGCATCACAGACGGGCCCACAGGAGACGGTTATCAACATTGCCCTGCCTCCCTCCTGTCCCTGGCCCCAGCGCTGGCGCTGTGGGCACCAGGGAGACAGTGGGAGGAGGGGGGTGAGGGCTGGGGACTGAGGCTGATGGGAGGCGGGGACTTGGGGTGCTGAGGACTATAAAGGGGCCGACAGCAGGGGACCCACACGGCCTGAGGCACGCACCCGCACCCACTCCTCTCACGCAGGACTCAAGGTGAGTGGGGCTCTGGGGACCCAGAGCTGGGATGAGGGGAGGAGCCTGTGCTTTGCAGGACTTGGGGCCTGGTGGGGCTCAGGGGGGCTCTGCACCTGGACAAACCTGTCACACCAGAAGGGCCGTCTGTCTGCCCGTGCTGGCGCCCGCCTGCCCCGGGGGCAGCAGGGACACAAGGCCATGGACTTCTGTCCTTCCTTCCTACGGTCACTGTGTGTCCCTTCCCTGCCCTGCTGCCCACCAGCCCGTTCCCTCCATCCGTGCCCCGTGGCTCCCTCCCAGGAGTCCCCAGCTCCTGGACCTGGTCGAGTTTCAGCTGCTGGGCTGCTCCCAGGGCTGTCTGTGCCCCCAGTGCAGCGTCTAAGGGTGGGCAGCCCTGGTGAGGGATGGAGGTGGGGCAAGCGGGCTCTGTGCTCTCTATGGCTCCCACTGCCTGCTCCTCAGATGGCTGCCGCACACCGCTGCGTCTCCCTGCTGCTCCTGTCCACCTGCGTGGCTCTGCTGCTGCGGCCGCCGCTGGCTGCCCAGGGAGCCCCGCCGGAGCCGGTGTACCCAGGGGACGATGCCACGCCAGAGCAGATGGCTGAGTACGTGGCCGATCTCCGCCGATACATCAACATGCTGACCAGGCCCAGGTGTGTTGGGGGTCAGCGGGGAGGAGGAGGGAGGGGGAGTCTGCGCTGGGCCCCAGCCCCAGTCCCTTCCATGCCTGCTCTCAGCTGACCATGCCTGGGCCTGTGCAGTGTGGGCGAAATGCTGCCTAAGGGGACACAGGCCAGGGGATTTGCTCCAGCTGCCTCTGCCCTCACAGGTACGGGAAGAGAGACCAAGTGGACACTCTGGGTTTCTTGGAATGGGGCCACCCCCACGCAGCCGCACCCAGGTCAGTTTGCTTTCCTGAGGCAGAAGTGAGGGCAGGGACTGGATCAGGGCTGGACAACCTGGGAGTGGGGGTAGAAGAGGGGCCCAGGGCAGCAGGACTGCCCCCACAGTGTCCCGCTCCGGCCTCTCCCCGCAGGGAGCTCAGCACCATGGACCTGTGATGCTGCCTCTCCTCCCACAAGTCCACTGTGCAACCAGCCCAGCTCTCCCGCCGCACCCTCGGCCCCTGCTCCCCCACAGGCTAAATAAAGCACATCAAAGTCAAGGCCTCTCTCTGTCTCTGTGGACCCCTGGGGGGCAAGGAAGAAGCTGGGACACAAGACAGAGAGGACGGGCAGGGAGGAGAGAACCGAGGGCTTCCCTAGCTCATGCACTCAGCTCCACACAGTGCGGCCCAGAGGGAGGCAGGGCCTTGGCCAAGGTCATCCAGTCCCTCCACTTCAGCAGCCCAGGCTTCCACCTGCTCCCAAACGGCCCCTCCCACGCCAAGGCTGCAGGTGCAGTGCCCATTCACACTGAAGTGTTCTGGACGCGGGCAAGCGCCCAGCCTCAAGGCATGACTCTTGCTGAGGCAGTCAAGGGCGACCCTGGGTGGTCCCAGAGCCACTCTCCAGAACTTCGGAGAGACTGCCCGGACCTGGGAGCCCACTGGAGGGAGGAGACGAGCTGAGCCCCGAGCTGCAGCCCACCACAGGGGTCTGCATGTGGCTGCCCCAGGAGCCCTGCCCTGGGAAGGAATCCCAGGGGCCTCGGCGGCTCAGCCCCCCACCTTCCCAGGCCCCAGGAATGGGTGGGGATAGGGGGGGCTCCCTGTGAAGTGTGAGACATGAGCTTGTGGCTCCCTTTTCCCGGACCGGGACACCGGTGGATGAAGAACACACACTGCGGCATGAGAGTCTGGCCAAGCGAGGGCCTCTCCCATGGCTGTGACCCCCACAAGCGAGCACCAGCCTTACCCCCAGCTTTTCAGGGACAGCCCTCACCTCCACCCCACAGGCCCTGCCCCCTCCCCTGTTCTATTCACTACCAGAGGGGCTGAGACGCTCCAGGAGGCAAAGGGGCTCCCAAAGCCCTGCTCCCCGAGGGGCAGGCAAGCCCCTCTGTGGGTCCCTGGGCCATCACTGAGACAAGCCTGGTCAGTGCAGACCCTGTAGGGGATGCATGTGAGTGTGTGAGCGGGGGTCTGTCTCCGTGTGCGTGCGTGTGTGTGGGTCCAAAACCCTTCTTACGAGGTTGCTGGGACCCCCCTGCTCTCCCTCCACCCAGAACCGCCAGGCAGAGTGTATGTGGGTGAGGAGGGGTCCTTCCAGGAGTGGTGTGCATGGGTAGGCAGGAAGGCCCCTCACTGAGGTCTTTCTGTCTCCAGAGAGGCAGCTCCAAGGTCCCCGTCCACCCCAGCCCCAAGAAATCCATGAAGCCACAGAGCTTTTGCTGCTTTATTGTTCTCACCCCAGGGGTGGAAAGAGTTGGTCTCACAACGAAAGGGGCTGGTGGCCACTCAGGGGTCGGGCATCCAGAGGGCAGGGCCAGGCCTGGAGAAGAACATCTCTGGGGCCCAGGGATCCCCCCGACCCCCCAGGGCCCGTCCACGTGGCCCCGGTTCTGAGGCCCCCGACTCGGTGCCAGCAGGGTCCAGGGGCTCCTACCTGGGGCCCTGGGATGAGGCGGGTGGTCGCGGGGTCGCGGTGCTCGGCGGCAGCGACTTCGTGGCGTTCGTTGGAGGGAATTTCGTGGTGTCGGCGGTTTTCTTTGGGGTTTTGTATTTCTTCGAACTGGGGAACACGTCTGTGCAGTGGTCACGGCGCCGCGGCGAGCGCAGGGGAGGCCAGGGGGCGTCCGCGTCCTCCCTCACCCGCTCCCTCCCGTACTCCTCCCCCCCTACCCCCGCTGGCCCACCTGCCGCTGAAGATCTTCTCCACGTACTTGTTGAGTGGGCCTAGGTTCAGCCACCTGGCCACCCTGGGCCTGGGGGTGTCCACAGCCAGAAGCAGCACGTCACCCGCGGTGCGCTCAGGCAGCAGCAGCAGCGAGAGCAGGCACAGCAGGGCCAGTGCGCACGCGCAGCGCGGAGCCGGAGTCTGCAGGGGCGGGGCAGACAGCGCAGTGGGCGACCACGTGACTCCGGGCAGGTGCGGCCGTACAACGGCTGGGGGCGCTCGCGGGCTGGGCGGGCTGTGCTGCGGGGCCTGTCGGATCCAGGGACGGGTCTGCTTCTGGGGCTCACAAAGGTGCACAGGTGCTGAAGAACCATCCTGGTGCCCAGGGACAATGGTGCCCACCTGTACGTGCACAGCGGTGCACACGAGACACCCAGGTGAAAAAGGACGGGGAGGCCCGCGCTGGACGCAGGAGGGCGGCACAGAGCCACTGCCCAGCCCCCGGATCGGGCTGGCCTCGCCTGCAAACTCTCTGCTCATCCTTCCCCAGCCTCTCCCTTGCCTCCTCTCAGTTCCTCAGAAATACTGGACACGCCATTCCGTGCCCAGGAATTCTTCCTCCAGACCCTTTAGGCGCCAGCAAGGGCCCCACCTGACTCCCCCCAGCTCGTCCTGCGGGTGTCCCTGTTGCACTTCATTCCGTTATTGTCTGAGTCCCTTCCCTCCCACACCTGCTCCCTCAAGGTAGCGCCACGGCCGCTGGACTCTCGGCCTGCGTTGTCTGCTGAGGTATCACCAGCAGCTAGAAGAGTGCGGGGCACCTAGTTAGTGCTAAGCAATAGACGTGAGTGAATAACTGATCACTGCCAGCCTGGGGAGTACCACAGGCACGCCCAGCCAGAATCAGAGGCACCCAGTGTTTGCCAGACCATGGCACCCATGAACCTGGCATGAACCCCCAGAGCCTGGAGCCCCTCAGCCTTCTCGCAGCCAGGAACTCTCCTCTTCCGCTCCACCCCAAGTAGTGACAGGAAGCCCTGGCAGCAGTCTGGGCCTCACTGCTTCATGCCCCTGGTGCCATCCCCAAGCTTCCAGGGAATTCTACTGCTAGTGCTCCCGGACCCGGCTGATGACATTACCATGGTGCTGGACAGGTGCAGAGCGGCTCAGCAAATTCTCGGGCCAGGACCTCCCGGCCATTTATATGCCTTCCGATGCCTGCCCCTTTTCTTCTAGGGCTGCACTCCCAGCTCGGCCTCCTTCTGGGCTGGACAGAGAGAAGGTGGGGGTGGAAGCACACGGGCTGCCCATTGTCCTGCCTGGGGTACAGTGCCTGCCGGGGCTTGGAGGGGTGGGCGGCGGAGGCGGGAGGCACTGGGGGGTCAGGTAACTTTTTGCTCCAAGTCTACCCATCCTAGGGAAGACTTGTCCCATCTCTGGGACAGCTAAGGGACTGTGCTTTTCTCAGGAGCTATTCTAAAGATTCATTTACTTATTTGAGAGGCAGAGTTACAAAGAGAGGGAAAGACAGGAGAGAGGTCTTCATCTGATGGTTCACTCCCCAAATAGCCACAACAGCCGGAGCTGGGCCGATCCGAAGCCAAGAGCCAGGAGCTTCTTCTGGGTCTCCCACGTGAGTGCAGGGGTCCAAGGACTTGGGCTGTTTGCTGCTGCTTTCCCAGACCAGCAGCAGAGAGCTGGGTTGGAAGTGGAACAGTGGAGACTGGAACCAGAGTCCATATGTTATGCTGGCACTGCAGGCAGAGGCTTAGTCCACTCTGCCCTGGCTCCACCCAGGAGCAATTCTTGGGGTTGGGTGGGGAACTCTACTGCAGACCAGATGCCCCCTTCCCATCCAGCTGGACCCCAGGTACCTTCTGTCCCTGTGGGGCTGCTGTGCGAGCCTGGCTGAAGGGGGAAGGGCTGCCGTTGCTATTTGTACCTTGAGGATTTTGGCAGACATGGGAGGTCTGTTCATTTGGGGTGTTGCCAAATAGCCTCCAGGGGCAGCTGCTAGGAGGAAAACTTCATTTACTTGTGACAGTAAGGGGGACAGCAGGAAGGTTTAGTTCTCTAAAGAAACTACCTTCCTGAGACTTGCCAGGGCTTTTATTGCAAGAGCTGGGGGTATGTCCAAGATAGAGAAAGGTGTGTGTGTGGGGGGGGGAGAGGGTAGGAGGGCCCTCCCTGCCCAAACAATGTACATTTGCATATGTTGCATATTCAAATATCTGTACTCAGAGGACCAGGCTGCCTGGTCCTCTGAGTACAATGTTGCAAGATGAAGCTTTTTTGAAACATGCTTTGAGAAACAGGCTCTAGTGAGTAAACTGTTGCCAGTGTTCCCCTGTCCCCTTCTGTTGGAATGCCACAAGCTTGTCCCGGAGGACGGAGGACGGCAGGTCTAGCCACTCAGCCTGCACTGCCATTTGGGAGCCCTTTGGTGGGCTCATGGAGGGCAGTGGAGGGTCTTGGCTGCAGTGAAGGGTCATCAGCTCCTCTCTGCCCACTGGGCACTGCTGCCCTTCTGAGGCAAAGTTAGGAAATGTCCGCCGATTTTTCATGGCCATCTCACTTTTGGAAGGGGCCCCGTTGAAAAAGCAGGGGCTTTCGGGCGGGAATCCTGACATCACCACTTCCTGGCTGTGTGACCTTGGTGGAGGGACAATATCTTCCCCAAACTTCCACACTGACTACTGGAAAGTGGAGCTGACTACACCTGTAGCATGAGACTCAAAGACTAATTTAGGTCATCTAGCTCAGCCCCTGAATAACTCCTGGCACATCCTGGGGGTGAACATGTGGGAGCCCCCATCTCCTTCCATCCTGACCCTCTCTGTATTCAAACCTTCTCTCAAGGAGGGGGTGAGAAATTCAGTGTCAATGTCACTGAAGTTTATGGGATGGCTCAGTAGCCAAGTGAGACCAAGACTACATCAGAGACAGACTTTTCACAAAAACAAGACCCGGTCCATAGTGCAGGTGGGGAGGCCATCTGGAGGCAGGTGCACCCTAGACACCAACAAGGCACAAGCCCCATGTGGAGCCCCACCCCTGCCCCACCCCGACGGCAATGATGTGTTCCCTCTGCGACTTGGCTGTGAGGAGCTGAGGGTTCATGTGCAGGCACCAAGTGCTCTCATGGTCCTTTGCTCACTCCAGAACCTGTCAAGCTCTGAGGGAGTGGGAGTGTGTGTGTGATGGTGCTGGGTAGCTCGCCTACCTAACCCAGAGTGAGAAGATGCTTCGTGCTCGGAGACACTGGAGGAAGAGGCTCAGGGGGCTGAGGCTCACTAAAAGAAACCATAAGAATCTTGTATGTAGGGGCTGGCATTGTGGCATAGCGGGTAAAGCTGCCACCTACGGTGTTAGCATCCCATATGGGCACTGGTTTGAGTCCCAGCTGTTTTTCTTCCGATCCAGCTCTCTGCTACAGGCTGGGAAAGCAATAGAAGATGGCCCAAGTGTTCGGGCCACTGCACCCGCGTGGGAGACCTGGAAGAATCTCCTGGCTCTTAGCTTCGGACTGGCACAGCTTCCGCTGTTGCAGCCATCTGGGGAGTAAACAAGCAGATGGAAGACCTCTCTCTCTCTGCCTCTGCCTCTCTGTAACTCTTTCAAATAAATTAAATAAATCTGCTTTCTCAGGCTGTAGCAGAGAGCTGAACCGGAAGTAGAGTAGCCGGGACTCAAACCAGCACCCATATGGGATGCCGGCACCGTAGGCAATGGTTTACCCACTACGCCACAGCACCAGCCCCTGGCTGAGAATTCTGTTGCAGGTACTCTCGTGTCACCTAGGTGACACCTGTGGGCATTACTTCCTTTAGCATTTCAAGATACAGGTTTAGAGCAGTTATGAGACTACCCAAGGTCAGGGGAAGGACCGAGATTTGAGTTCAGGACTGACTCAGATCTGGAGAGGAAATCTATCCTCCTGCTCTAGCCAATGACACACCCAGATGGGATGCTGGCACCACAGCGGAGGCTTAGCCCACTGCACCAACAGCACTGGCCCCTAAATTAGTTTCTAACTGACATATGGTAAATGCCTTCCCAAGGTCAGAAGAAGAGGGGAGGAACCTGTCCTGGGAGTGAAATGTGGTTGTTATTTGCTTGCCTAGGAATGCTTCACCTGCAGTCTATCAGCTTATATGTAACCATTTCAGGTTCTGTTGGTACAGAGTGGTGGTGTTAATATTTGCCAGACAGGTACGGCTCAGTATGTGCGTGGAGAAGGACATCTCCCACAACCATGTACCCATGTGCAGTCCTATACCAATTCCTGTTAGACTATCCAATCCAATGTACGCAGGTAACCATGCAAGGGAGACAAAGAGGCTAAAATGATACCAATTTGCCTATTTAGTATTTCCATGTTAATAAACCACGTGGGCTCTTGCCATTTATTGAGACGAATTCTGAATACTGGCTCAAATGAACCAGGCAACATGGTAAGTTTTAAGCTTTTTATTCAGTGAGAGAAGTGCATAGGGGAGTGAGGGCATTCATCTAAGGGAGAAAGGAAAGTCCGGAAAATTCAGTTGGAATCCATGCCAAGCAGAAAGCAGGCCAAAGGCCACGTGTAGGAAGCCTTTGGTTTTGAGCAGCTACAAGCAGCTTACCACGGGCAGCAAAGCAGAGGGAGAGAGCAGGTGCCCGAAGCCCACGTGCCCTGAAGGCACGGGGCAACACAGGTCCATAATGGCGAAAAAGGGCAAAAAGCCATGCGGCCTGTTTCAGGCCTTTTATCCACTTCCAAAGGGGCGTGGTTATGTAGCCTGATTGGCAGGTGGGCATACAGGTGGGGTCAGGTAGGGGCATGAGATCACACAGGGGCGTGGTGAAGGCATGGTCTTTCAGCCCACAAATCTAATTAATTTTATCCTCTAAGCCTGCCTACCTCAAAACCATATAAAAGGGGAAACCTTTCTTTCTCTGGGGCTCAGGATTTTGGATAAGAAATTCCACCTGGGCCTTTTGCTGGCATAATTAAAGACTACTTCCTCTTAAAAGGCTTTGGTGTCTTGTCTTGGTACATGGATCCTGTTACATGCCTACTTAAAAAAAAAAAAAACTTTAGAATAAACTTCATAGACGAATAATTTGCACACAGTACAATCTCCCCATTGGAAGTGTGGTGTGGTGACTTTTGACAAATATGTCACCACCCACGTAGCAAAGACACAGACCATCCCCGTGGCTGGGCAGGTTCCCTGGCCCCAGGCAACCCTGGATCTGATCTCTCAGTTTTGCCCAGGCTGGAACTTCAAATAATGGAGTTAAAGACTAGGTGCTTTGCCCGCTTCACATAATGTCCTCGCGCCGCGATTCCCCTTCGGAGCCTGGCTCGCAGTTCATCATGAACTTGTCCCAGCCACTGGCATTTCTCCAGCCCTTTAGCCACCTCTGCTGCTTCCCCGCTGTGCCCATCCCAGCCTTCGCCTCTTACGCGCCAGTGGCCTCTGTGATAGTCCCGAGCTGCCACACCCCGTCGCCTCTGCTTGTGCTGTTCCTTCTCTCGGGAATGACCCACTGTGCCCCTGCGCCCTGCGAGATCTCACTGGGGCCCGTTGAGGAAACACTTCTCTGACACCTCCCTGTCCCGCTCTGGGCTCCTGGGGCTCCTGTTGCAACAGGTGTCTCTAATGATGTTTCTGGGTATTCTGCCAGGTCCTGTGCCGGGGTGAATTCCCCGAGAGGAGAGGGGACAATGTCACTCGCTAAGTCCCACAGCCACTGCCCACTGAGTGAACCCACTGCCTTGCCTGGGAGACAGAATCTACAGGATTGGGTAGGGCTTCTCTGTATGGATTTCTGGGGAGCTGAGGGAGGGCGGGGCAGGCCACCTCCCAGCTGCAGCAGGAACCCTCGGGGAGGAGTGGGCAATCTGCAAGCCCTTTTACTTTGTTTTCCTGATGCTTTGGCAGCTGGCGTCTTGCTGATCCTGGGGAGGTGGTCCTGCCCAGAGCTACCCAGTGGTAGTACAGGACGCACCTGCCAGCACACCTTTTGTATGTCTACGAAACAGCCCGGAGCCCACCACCTCCCACCTCCTCTCTCTGCTGACCTGCTCCAGACACTGTCCACCCCTTCTGCATCCCAGGCCCAACACGAGACGACGAGGGTTGGCCTTCAAGCCCCAGAACCTGCTGACTTGATCTGAACAAGCCTGCCCCACCCTGCTCACCTGCTTTGCTTGTTCCTCCCTGTGGAAACTGCAATAAAAGGTCTTGCCTGGACTTCAGCTCCCTCTGCCTCCCGACCAACCAGGTGCTTTCCCAGGTGGTCCTGCAGGGCCAACTTTTCTGTCTTTTAAGATTTTATTTTATTTATTTGAAACAGAGAGACAAAGACAGAGACAGAGATGGAGATAGTTAGAGATCTTCCACCCACTGGTTTATCCCCACAAATGGTTATAACAGCCAGGGCTGGGTCAGGCCAAAGCCAGGAGCCTGGAATTCCATCCAGGTCTCCCTCATGGGTAGTAGGAGTCCAAGCACTTGAGCCATCTGCTGCTACTTTCCCAGGCGCATTAGCAGAGAGCTGGATCGGAAGTGGAACAGCTGGGACTGGAACCGGAGCTCCTGTGGGATGCCGGCGCAGCAGGCGGCTGCTTAATTTGCTGCGTCACAACGCCAGCACCAGCCGTCTTTATCTGGGTAATTGCCTCCTGGTTAGGGGCCAGGCTCAGGCTCTCAGATTTTCCATGTTCTTAGCAACAAACAAAAGCCCACTGACGGAGAACCCACACATCTCGCCCCAGCCGTCCTCCTGAGCCGTGCTTGCCGCGCGGTCCCTGGCGATGCATTTAACGCCTCTCACCTTCAGCTTCCTCACCCACAAAACGAAGCAAATCCTGGCACCTGTGAGTGGGGCGCAGCGTCTCGTGGAGCCTGGGCCCAGACGGCCAGACCCCGGCCTGTGTACGTCTCTGCACAAATGACCTGGCCTCCTGCACCCCACATCTCTGGGTGATGGCGAGCACCCCCCTTTACTCCGTCCTGATGACAGGGGCGGGATGGGGTGGGGACAGTCCCTCCTCCAATGGTTATGCCTGGAAAAGGACAGTGGTGGGGGAGGAATTCTCCCAGGGCGCCACCTGCTCCCCAAGCTGATACCTGCATACCTCGGGGCAGGCAGCTGCACGTGGAGGAGCCAGAAGGCCTGGGAGATGGCAGGGGCTGCCCCAGGTACCTCAGAAAGGAGAGGTGCACAGGGCTGCCCTGTGGTGGCCAGGCCCCAGCAGGGAGGGCGTCAAAGGGCCCTGGAGCTGAGCCCTTGCTCCAAGCAGGGCGGGTGGCAGAGTGGCCAGGAGGGGCAGGTCATGGCTTTGGACCTGGGGCCCCTGCATTGCTGCAGCACGGGCAGGGCCTGGCCTGGGAGGCCTGGCCCCCGCTCCTGGCTCACAGAGCGCTTGTCCACCTTCCCCAGGCCTGTGACGCAGACGTTAGCTGCCCCCACGACAGCAGACAGAGCGCAGGCCCGGGGGCTCCCCGAGGTCACCCAGGGCTCTCCACGGCCCTTCTCCCTTCTGTCCAGCCCCAGTCTGCTCTGCACATGCTGTGGGGCAACAGCAGAGGGAAGCAGCATGCGCCAAGTGCGTGTGCAGGTGTGTGCCGGCGTGTGAGTGAGTACATGTATGGCCACACAGTCCTGCAGGTCCCCAGTTCAAGCCAAGACACTCCTCTGTCTCCAAACAGCCACCTCAGGGCCTTCCCTGCTTCCCCAGGTCTGCTCGCTACTTTGGTTCCCTGCCCAGCTCCTGCTGGCACATGGCACACTCTGCTTCTTCACCTTCTTCCCACAAATCCCTGCCCTGTTTGGGCCTCCAGGGGCACTCTAGGGTGGCTCTGTGTGCGGAGCCTCCCGCAGTGGATGCTGGGTTGTGGGCACAGGCAGCAGGATTCTTCCCCTCCCCTCCGGGCCTGCGCTGACTTCTGCGATGTCTCCCTCACCTGTTCCTGACCATACCACCTGGTGCCACCCTGAAGCCCTTGGCACCTGGAGGGACAGAGGTTGACAGAAGTGGGTGGCACGCTAGCTGAGGCTGGGCACGGCGCCCCACAGGGTGTGTGGGCAGTGGGAAGACGACACGCTACCTGCACCAGAGAGCGGAGGCTCCAGAAGCCCTGGGGGGAGTCCTCCTTCCCAGGAAGGCATGTCAGGGACGCCAGCCCCCCGCCCAGCTGGCATCCAGCACGAGCCTGCCCACGGAGCTGCATTTAGAGTGCTTCTGTATGCAGGCACTGTGGCGGCTGCTCTACATCTGTCCTCTCCCAAGGTGGAGGTGGCTGGCCCTATTGCACGGATGTGGAAATGGAGGCCCAGGGAGATTATGTAACCAGCGTAAACTACCGGCTGAGCCAGGATTTCAACACAGAATGGTCTGCTTCCAGAATATTCCACCCCAACGGCATGGCATGCAGAGCAAATCCAAGGGCAAGGAGCCCGCTTCCTTTGGTCTCTGCCTTCCAGCCGGGCAATCTGACCAGAGCACAGGCAGGTGGCGGCTGGGGGTTGGTGGGGGGGAGGCTGTTGGAGGGGTGCTTTGGGCTCTGTCCTGAGGTTGTAGGGGGATCAAGGGGTTCTGAAGGGAAGGCAAAGCATTTGTCTGGCTGTTCTGTTGAGGCTGGGTTGGGGAGGGGTCATAGCGTTTCTTTTAGAACAGTGGTTTCGGCTGGTGCCGCGGCTCACTAGGCTAATCCTCCGCCTTGCGGCGCCGGCACACTGGGTTCTAGTCCTGGTCGGGGCGCCGGATTCTGTCCCGGTTGCCCCTCTTCCAGGCCAGCTCTCTCTTGCACCCCGAGTCCCTGCTGGCCACGTAGAAGACCTGGATGGAGTCCCGCAAGCCTTGGCTGTTGTGGGCATTTGAGGAGTGAACCAGCAAATGGGAACTCTCTCTCTCTCTCTCTCTCTCTCTCTCTCTCTCTCTCTGCCTCTGAGACAAAAGAGAAAAAAATGTTCCTAAGACAGACTCTGCCTAGCTGCAGGAGTGGAGACAAGCAGGAAGCCCTGAGGCTGGGATAGAAAGATAGGCTGGGCGTGGCGGCCCCTGTTGGCCATTCCCAGAAGTGCAACATCACTCTGGTCCATCTACTGGAAATTCACACGGATCCTGAGTTTTAGTTCCATTTATGCCCTAATTGCCAAAGCTTCAGGCTGAACACTCGTCAGAGAAAACTCTTGACATTAGGGGAATCAGAGACAGTGCCTTCACTCTTGTGGCCTCTGGGAAGAGGAAGGCAGAGCTAACCACAGACCCAGAGAGAAAACTCAGGGTGTGTGTGTGTGTGTGTGGCTGGGGGATGGGCAGCCTCTAACAGTGCTGTGGGGTTCACTGTGGATCCCCAAAGCTGCTTCCCTTTCCAGCATCCAGTAGCATCCTCATTCCTTTGGGAGCCCAGCTTGGAACACTTCCTGCACCCACAGAGAGTGCATTGTGTCTCTGTGACATAGCCCTCCTGGACCTCCACCCCAGCCCGTGAGCTCCTGGCGGTTAGGACCGCTATCTAATCCCAGTGTCACACAAACTGCACCTTCCGGAACAACACGGGGGCATGCTAGTGTGCATCGGGCAAGGCTTCTTCTGCTCGGCCTGCAGCCTCACTGTGCTGCTGTGAGAACACAACAATCCATCAATTGTAAGGCCCGGGACAGATGGGAGCCGCTGGCGTTCTGAAGGCCCTGTCAGAGAGACGCCTGTTGGCTCACTGGCAGGGAGAGGTGGCCTGCACAAAGCACGTGTTCAGCTCGCCCCCTCTGTAGGGCTGGGATTTGGGAGCCCATCTGGTCCTGGGGATCCTGAATGGGACTGAAAGTTTGCTTTGGGTTGCTAAGGGGTGGTAACGATTTTGGAGAGATTTAAAATCCTTTGCTCCCCCAACCAAATGCCAAATGCAAATAGCTGGTGTTTTCTCCGTGCACTGGGGGGCAGACAGTAGTGGGAGGTGGCCTTTATAATGGGAGGGGGCCCTCTTTTCCTGAGTTTGCTTGCTTAAAGGCAGAGGAGAGGGCAAAGCCTTGTGCTCCCGGAAGCCTCTGCGGCCAGACTGGAGCCTGCAATTCCAGTCGCCACCATCTGGGGGCACTCACTTTCTCTCCTCCCTCCCTAAATTGGAGGAAGGTAAGGAGGGGCAACGGAACCACTGGGCTTGCGTGCAGCCCCTCTTGGCTTTTCCCTGTACCTGTTCTTAAACCTATACCTTCGGGGTTCAGGGGCGAGCTGAGACCCCTGGGGACCCCAGGGCCTGTGGTGATGGATTCCTAGGTTCAAACCATTTCTAAGATTTCCCATCAGGTCTCCAAGATGCAGTCTATCTCTGATCTTGGGAGATCTGTTGGTAAGGAAGAAGGGTAATGCCTGTCATAGAGTGGCCCAGCAGCCAGGGAGGGCAGCGAGGGCGCTACAGGCCCCAGCGCTGGAAAAGGCGGTTTCCAGCGCTATCATCCACCAGCAGGTCTGGGTGGAGCCCAAGGTTGGGCCCAGGCTGACCATGGGGTTAACCCTTTATTAGCTTTTTCGGATGCCACTGAGGAAGGGCAGAGTTGCTTTAAACAAAGAAACAAAAGAGGCAAAGATCAACTCCCCTGTGCAGACCTAAAATAGTCTCGAACCTCTTCACGAATACATTTTTTTTTCCTTTGCAAATTTCTTGAAAGAGCGAGATCTAGGTACCCACCATTCGAGTTCTTCCGAGCTGCCCGGAGTCCCGTAGAGGCTGATACTCTAATGCCTTCCCGTTCCGTCCCCTCGCTGGGAAGGACTACGAGGACGGCGAGCACTGGACCGCAGGTGCAAGCCCAGGAGGAGGAGCGGTCCCATTCGGCTGTGGCTTTCACCGTGGCCCTTTTAAGGGATCTCCGGGCGCGCGGATCTCAGGCCGTGCTTCTCCGAGAGGGAGGGAGCTGGGGGCCGTGGGCTGAGCCCCTAACCACCACCTCTGCGGCCCCCAGCCAGCCGAGGACAGGACGCTTTCTCGCCCCCTCCCCCGAATTGCCCTCCCCGCGCTCCCTTCTGTCTCCGCCCCCTGGCGCCGCGGAGGCCTCGCCGCTTTAAGAGCCGGGCTAGCGATTGACAAGCAACAAACGCCGAGCGCCGGGCTGCGCTGGAGCCGCCCCAAGCCAGGGGCTCCCCGGGGCGCAGGTACGCGAACCCGACCCCCGGGCCAGCACGCACCCCAGACGCCTGCCTCCTTCCCGTCCTGGCACTTGGGGTCCAAACTCCCTGGGTCCCTTCCCCACAGACCCGTCTCTCTTCTCCGCCCCCCGCCCCCGGGCCCTCTTTCTGGGGTGCTCAAAGGGAAAACCAAACCCCCTGGCCCCGGACGCCGGCCCCCTCCCCTGGCTGAGCGCTCCAGAGTGGCAGCGGGAACTGGAGGAGCCAAGCGGGGGTCTGAGTACCGTCGCGGCCGCTCCCGGGGGGCTGTGCGGGTTGGGGGGACCTGGAAGCCGGGCATTACGTAAGAATCTCGCGGTTCGCGCTTCCGGGGGTGGGCGAGCCAGACGGAGGAGGCGCTCAGTCCCTGAGGCAACCTGCCGACCCCGGGAGGCCGACACCTGCGTTTCTCCTGGGAGGGGTTGAGGGAAGGGGGCGAGCTGTTTCTCCCGCCTCTCCGACCGTGGGTGGGTGGGTGGGGGCCAGTTCAGGGGGCCAGGGGGTTGGGGGGACGCCGGGGAGCCAGTGTGCAAAGTTAGGGCAACTGCTGGGGAAGGGGGGGATGAGGGTTAGAGTGAGGGGGGGTGGGTATTCAATGACCTCATCCCCCGTCTCTGGCGGCCGCGCAAGGAGCCTTCGCTGAGGCTCGAAACACGCCCCCCCCCCCCAAGGTCCTAGCGCCGGGCGTGTTGGGCTGGGTCGATGGGTGGGGGCGGCAGGTCGGCTTGCTTCTAGACCCCTGCCTCTGCCCTCGGTTCTGTCCGGCCCTGCCCACGAGCTGTGCGTCTCCAAAGCGCCTCTGTCAGACCTGTCTCCTCCCCACCTCTTTGTATGTGGATCGCTGGTGGGGGGGTGAGAAGCCAGAGGACAGTGCCTGGGACACTGGGTGCCTGGGAGAGCTGGGAGGCCAGGGTGAGGAGGCACCTGGGCCCGGGCTTTTGGAAGCCGAGGTGAGGGTTCCCAGAGACAGGCCTGGGCCCCAGACCTTGGCACAGAGCCAGGCTGGCTTGCCTGGCACCGATGTCCTCCTGTGGGCTTGGGTGGGGGTGGGGCAGAGCCAGCTGGTGCCGTGGGAAAGGACTTCCCAGGGAGAAAACGGGCAGCCTGGGCAGGACTTCTGGGCCAGGAGATTCCATGCAGGATCCTCCTGCTGCTTCCCCCTGCCAGGCCTGGAGGCTCCCTGTGCCCCTGCGGCTGCCTTGATCGGGAGGAGCAGAGTCAGCCAGGAGAGAGCCTCAGGTTCCAGGTTGGGGGGGGGGCGGGGTGAGGGAGGATGAACAGGCCCTCCCCCTGCTCTCCAGGAGTAGGGACGGAGGGATTGGCCCCAGAGGCCCTGGCTGGACAGCGGCTCCTGGGCATTCCTCCCAGCCTGCGAGCTGGCCTGAGGGGGGTGTCCTTCCTCTCCCTGAGCACCCCATTCTGGGCTCAGAAGGAAGGGGAGCCCTGCCTCTCACCTTTGTGACAAGCTTGGGCCTGGGAGGGGAGCTGAGCAGAGAGGGTTTTACTGACCTCAGAGAGAGGTCTTCCCAAGAAACATTTTTTTAGGGGTGGAGGGAGATGAAGTGGCTGTGGCTCCCCTCCGCCCTGGGGCCCAGCAGGCATTTGGTCCTAAAGTGGGCATTGCCAGGCTGCTTCCCCTGCTCCTCTGCTGTGAGCCCCTGCCCCCTGTCATCATGGCAACTGGGGAATTAGGGTTTTATCCAGCAGCTCACGCCAGCCCAGGAAAAGGGGAGTCCATGTTTCAGGCTACCTGGAGCCCCCTGCTCACCTTGTCCCAACTCTGGGCTAAGATGGGGAGAGGGGAGAGAGGCCTTAAGAGGTAGGATATCATTCTGTCAGCTGGACACAAATGTTCTTTAAGATTTATTTAATTAAAAGCTCTTGTTACAGAGAGAGAGAGAGATCTCCCTCCCCAGTAGGTACAACAGCTGGGGCTTGGCTAGGCTGAAGCCAGAAACCTGGAACTCCATCTGGGTCTCCCACATGGGTGCAGGGGCCCAAGTACTTGCACCATCTTCCACTGCCTTCCCAGGCGCATTAGCAGAGAGCTGGATAGGAAGCAGAGCAGCAGGTACTTGAACTGGCGCTCATATGGGATGCTGATGTCACAGGCGGTGGCTCAACCCACTGGGCCACAGGGCTGGCCCCAGACACAAATGTTTGTAGGGCACCCGCACTGCACTGGGCCTGGGTTCCAGGGTCAAGGGGAATGGATGAGCTTCTTGCTGTCATGGAGCTTACAGTCAGGGAACAGTCACCCTTCCTGCTTTTGATTCAAGTTCTGGAGCCCCCCCCCCCAAACTTCTTTTTAGGAGCTTTGTGACCCAGGGCAATGCAGTGAACCTCTGATCCTCCTTCTCCGAGAAATAGATAGGGCATGGCGTCTGCTTCTGCAGCCTCCCAGGAATCCAGCCCCCTGCTCCAGGGCCTCTCTCCCTGCCCTGCTCCGGAAGGGGAGACCCTCCCCCGGCCCTCCCTGGGGTTCTGCCCCCCTCTTTCTCATGCTTCTTTCCCCCTCTCCAGGAGGCACATTTGCAGCCCTCGCTGACCTCACCATGCCAGTTGCCGCCACCAACTCTGAATCTGGTAAGAAGGGGGCGAGGATGTCAGCTGATTCCCATGATTCCAAGGGTGCCAGGCAAGGGATTGGGGGCAGCGAGCAGCCCCCAGGCTCTTCACAGCTCCCAGGAGAACAGCCGCTTGGCCGTGCATTCAGGCAGCCTCTCTGGCCATCTCCTCCGTGGGGGTCCCTGTGGGGCCAAGTCCACAGTGTGGTGTCCCCCCACCCAGCAAGTGTCGGAGGTGGGCCCCGGAGTGCTGGGGCACAGGGAGCTGGGAGTGTGGGGACAAGGACCCAGGTCGGGATGCCGGGGTCGGTTCTGCAGGAAGTTTCAGGGCCGGGGCGGAGCCGCGGGAGAGCTGGGAAGCTCTGGAGCTGCCTGGCCTCTTCCGTGATGAGGCTGATGTGGCACTGGGAGGCTGTGACAGGAAGGCAGGTCGCCGGCAGGAGGGTGTGCAGCGATGCAGCTGTGCTGCGGCTGACTCATCTGGCGTTGACCCTGTGCCTTTGAGGGTCCCAGTTCCCATGAGAGTGAAGCGATGGGACCGCACTGGAGTTCTTAGCTTTCACTGGTCCTGGATCTCAGAGAATCCGGCCCTAGACAATTGTTCTCGTGTGGACTCTTCGTGGGGGTTCGTGGGCCCCCTTGAGTGCACTCAGCGATCCCGCGGCACCAGGGGCTCAGGCTCTCTAGGGCTGTAGCAGCTACACCCAGCTGGTGGAGCAACCCTGCCTCCTGGCCTCTGGCTGTACAGCACCCCAACCCCCACCCCCACCCCGGCTCTGGGCCCTGCCCCTGACTCTGCCGCGTGTTCCCGCTCCCCATGCTGTTAGCGTGATGCCACCCCCTCTGGGAAAGTGAGCCCGCAAAGTGAACGCTGCCGTGAATGACACTGTGACAGCCTAGTTGGCCAGGAGAGACCCCTCTGGGCCACCGAGAAGCTGTCCCAATGTCCCCAGCTTCTGCAGGCTTCACCTCCTGTCCAGCCTGCTGGGCCCCCGGGGCTCTGTCCCTGCTCTAGCCTGCCTGGGCCCCACTGTAAGCGGTTTAATTAAACCCATCCCTGAGCCTGTGATTAAAGGCCTCTCAATCTGGGACTGCCCCGTAAACCCATTAATAGTGCCCGGTGGGGGTGGGGGGGAGGGGAGGAGCGGGCCAGCAGTGTGGCTTCCCTGCGGTAGGCCATTTGCTGGGGACGTGGCTGGGACAGAGCAGAGTGGCGCCCAGGGGTATAGGTATGGGTGCAGGTCCCTGCTCCCCTGGTGTGCCACCAGCTACTTCTGGCTTCCCCACACACACGCACAGGCAGCCCTCTGCTCCCACCTGGCCCCCCAAATCTAGCCATGGCCCCTACTCTTTGTCACCTGGCAGTCACTGTACTTCCTACAGGACTAATAGGGGGACGGCTGCACCCCCGCCTCTGTAGCCAGGCTATTCCTCCCCGCCCTTGCCCTTCCCTGAAAAACCCTTGCCTTGGGCTCGGCAAAGGGGGAAGCTAGCAAGGACCCGCTCCCCCCCCCCCAGTAGGTCATTGCCACTGTGGAAGGAGGGGAGTGGTGTGAGGGCATTCCCCTGGCAGAGAGACGCCAACTCTACTTGAGTAGGGGGAAGGGCCCCTTTCCCGGGGGTGGGGTGGGGTGGGGGTCTGTGAGTGGCAGCACAGGCTGAGAGCTCAGCTGTCTCACCGCTGGCATCTCCTGACCTGTGGTCTTGCCTGCCTCCTTTCCTGAGACTCCCTCCTCTCTTTGCATCAAGGCCTGGGGTGTGGGTCTGCTTTCCAGTGGAGCTGTCCCTTTAAATCTCTCCTGCATGCCTAGGTTACTGTCCCGGTGTGTAAGCCTGCCTGCTGCCATGGCAACCAGGGTGCAGTGCAACCTGGTGCCACTCCTCAGGGACCCACTGGCTGGTGGTTGCAGTGGGGCCCTGGTGGTGACCTCATGGGTGCTGGGTCTCAGAGGAGTGGGGGCATGGGGCCGGGACAATTGCCAAGTCCCTCCCTCCTGCCCACCCTTACTCCTGCTGCAGGGACGTGCCCTTGCCTTTTCTTTCCCTTCCCCAGTTCCAAGATGCCTGGCTTGCCCCCTGTTCTGGATCAGCCTGTTACCCCAGAAAATCTGCAGGAGATGGGGTGTGGAGGTTGGCCCCCTCCCCTGCCCCTGTGGTGCCATCCTCCCCTTGGGTTGCCGCACGGCTGCTAGGGAGGTTTTTGGGTTGCAAAGACGCCACCTGGCCGATGCCTGGGTGTTGCTCTTGGGGGCTTCCCTTGACTGAGGGGGTCATTGTGAAAGAACTGGCCTGGAGGCCTGGGCACGGGACAGAGAGCAGAGGACAGAGGGCACAGGGAGAAGGTGGCTTGGAGCGTGCTGGATAAGGGACTTCCAGGAATGAGGGGGGGCATGGACAAAATGGGCCCAGGACCCTCACCCCTTGAGTTCCGTGCTGTCCTAAGGGGGTATCACACTTCGCCTCCCCTGCCCCCAACCCTCCTCCGCATCCACAGTGATACTGAAACCGCGGGCATCGGGCCTTGGGCTGGATGCGTACTCTCCTTGCCTTCGCCCTCCTCCTGCTCACGTTCCCGCCCCCACCCCACCCGACAACGCCCGGCGCGGCTCTGCCAATCGGCAGGGCGATCAGGGCGTCCGAGCCTTGCTATTGGCTGCCTCTGCAGAAGGCGCTCCCCCGAGTTCCGCCTTCTCCAGCGCTGCCGCCTGCAGCAGCGGTCGGGCAGCGAGCGTGTGGAGGCTGCTGCCCGGGCCGGGGCTGGGGGCGCCATGGCAGGCAGCCCAGGCAGCGAGACCTCTTTGGAGGGGCTGTCCCTGGGCTCCTCTGAGGAAGCGGAGCTCCGGAGGGAAGGTAGGGAAGGACGGGCCCTTTCACCTGCTCTTCAGCGGGGTTTGGGGCATCTGGAGAGGGGGCTTGGGCGGAAGGCACCGAGCGCTCTGGTCAGCCCTCCCCCATAACTGGCAGGCTTGGGGCGGGAGGGGGTGACCCCGGAGGGGGCTCCCAGCATACCGGGCAGAATGGGAGGGGTCCAGGCTCCTTGGACAGCGCACTGAGGACCTTGTAGGTCTCTGACCAGGGCCCAGCCCAGGCAGGGGCAAAAGGGCTCAGGAGAGCAGGCCGATAGGAGACGCTGACCGTCTCTGCCAGCTGCAGCCTCAGAGCCCCCTTCTCGCCACCCCCGCTCCTCCAGGAGGAGGGGGCACTGGCGGCGTTGGGAGGTGCCGGGGAAGCAGATCTGCCCCCTCTCCTCAGGGCTTGGGTGCTGTTAGGCAGATGCAGGCGTGGGTGGCAGGGTGGCAGAGTAATGATACCCCCTGCCCATCGCTGCCCCCGGCGGGTGCATGCGCGCCTCCCATCCTCAGATCTTGGGTGGTATTGCTGTGGCCCAGCTTCTGACGTCCTCGTGTCCTGACCCAGGCTCAGAGTTTGCTGACTCCTGCGAGGACTTGGTCTGACCTCTGCCTTTGGGTGCCCCCAGCTGGCCGAAGCCCTGGGTGCTTGTTTCCCCAGCTCCTGCCCGTGTTCTGAGCCTCAGCTTGGTCTTTGTGTCTTACACGTTGATTTTTACCGGTTGAGGGGGCCCTGGCTCTCTGGTGCAGGGAAGAACCTGACACCTGCTTCCCTTTCTCTCCCCGCCCCCAGAGTCCACTTCCTGCTGTTTGGAGCTTCCCAGCCTATCCAGGCTGCCATTGCTTAGGGTGGAGAGAACAGGCCACGGAAACTGTCCCCCATCTCTTAGGACCCCTGTCCCAGGCACTCAAGGGCCTGGGGTGCCTGCGCTGGGCAGGGAGGGCAGTGCTGCTGGGGAGGGGTGGTCTTTGTGATTTGGTGGGGGAGGGGCGGTGTTGTGTGTCTGCTGTGCCCTGCTGGCACCTGCGTCTGACCACCTGCCCTTTGCCCCCAGCCATGCAGCAGGTCCTGGACAATCTGGGATCTCTCCCCAGCGCCACGGGGGCCGCGGAGCTGGACCTGATCTTCCTTCGAGGCATTATGGAGAGTCCGATAGTGAGATCCCTGGCCAAGGTACAGTACTCCAGGAGGGGGCCCAGGGGCTGTGCCTGGGGAGGCACAGGCAGAATCAGGGTTGGTGTTAATGGGGGCGAATGGTGCCACAGCTCCTGCCCTAATGGCTTTGGATCAGCGTGGTGCGCTGGCTGCAGCAGCCATTGGGGGGTGAACCAACGGAAAAAGGAAGACCTTTCTCTCTGTCTCTCTCTCTCACGGTCCACTCTGCCTGTCCAAAAAAAATTATTTTTTATTTATTTGAAAGGCAGAGTATAGGGAGAGGGAAAGAAAGAGGGAGAGAGAAAGAGAGATCTTCCATCTGCTGGTTCACTCCGGAATGGCCACAACAGCCAGGACTGGGCCAGGCTGAAGCGAGGAGCCGAGAGCTTCCTCCAGGTCTCCCATGTGGGTGCAGGGGCCCAAGCACCTGGGCCATCCTCCACTGCTTTCCCAGGTGCATTAGCAGGAGCTGGATCAGAAGTGGAGCAGCCAGGACTTGAACTGGTACCCATATTGGATGCTGGTGCCACAGGCCAGGGCCTTAACCCACTGTGCCATAGAACTAACCCTGATGTATTTATTTTTTAAAGATTTATTTTTTGTTTATTTGAAAAGCAGAGTCACAGGGAGAGGGAGACAGAGAGATAGAGAGGGAGAGGGAGAGAAAAAGAGGGAGGTAGAGAGGGAGAGGAGAGGGAGGTATCTTCTATCCACTGGTTCACTCCCCAAATGGCCACAATGGGCAGGGCTGGGCCAGGCTTCAGAGTCAAGAGCTTCCAGATCTCCCACGAGGTGCAGGGGCCCAAGCACCTGGGCCATCCTCTGCTGCTTTCTCAGATACGTTAGCAGGAGCTGGATCGGAAGTGGAGCAGCTGGAATTCTACCAGTGCTCATATGGATGCTGGTGTTGCAGGCAAAGGCTTAACCTGCTATGCCATAGCACCGGCCTACAGATTCCTTTTTTTTTTTTTTTTTTTTTTTTTTGACAGGCAGAGTGGACAGTGAGAGAGAGAGACAGAGAGAAAGGTCTTCCTTTGCCGTTGGTTCACCCTCCAATGGCCGCCGCGGCACACGCGCTGCGGCCGGCGCACCGCGCTGATCCGATGGCAGGAGCCAGGAGCAGGTGCTTTTCCTGTCTTCCCATGGGGTGCAGGGCCCAAGCACCTGGGCCATCCTCACTGCCACTTCCCTGGCCACAGCAGAGAGCTTGGCCTGGAAGAGGGGCAACCGGGACAGAATCCGGCGCCCCGACCGGGACTAGAACCTGGTGTGCTGGCGCCGCTAGGCGGAGGATTAGCCTAGTGAGCCGCGGCGCCGGCCCTCCTTTTTTTTTTTTTTTTAAGATTTATTTATTTATTTGAAAGTCAGAGTTATACAGAGGGAGAAGGAGAGGCAGAGAGAGAGAGAGAGAGAGAGAGAGAGAGGTCTTCCATCCACTGGTTCATTCCCTAACTGGCCACAACGGTTGGAGCTGCACTGATCCAAAGCCAGCAGCTTCTTCTGGGCCTCCCACATGGAAGCAGGGGGCCAAGGACTTGGGCCATCTTCTTCTGCTTTCCCAGGCCATAGCAGAGAGCTGGATTGGAAGTGGAGCAGCCGGGACTCGAACCGGTGCCCACATGGGATGCCAGCACTGCAGGTGGTGGCTTTTACCCACTAAACCACAGCGCTGGCCCCTTGCAGATGTCCTTTTTTTTTTTTTTTAAGATTATTTATTTATTTGAGAGTTAGAGTTACAGACAGTGAGAGGGAGAGACAGAGAGAAAGGTCTTCCTTCTGTTGGTTCACTCCCCAAGTGGCCGGAGCTGTGCCGATCCAAAGCCAGGAGCCAGGTGCTTCCTTCTGGTCTCCCATGTGGGTGCAGGGGCCCAAGCACTTGGGCCATCTTGGCCACAGCAGAGAGCTAGATTGGAAGAGGAACAGCCGGCACTAGAACCAGTGCCCATATTGGATGTCGGTACCGCAGGCAGAAGATTAACCTCCTGTGCCACTGCGCCAGCCCACAGATGTCCTTTTTTTCTTTTTTTTCTTTTCTTTTTCTTTTCTTTTCTTTTTTTTTTGACAGGCAGGGTGGACAGTGAGAGAGAGAGACAGAGAGAAAGGTCTTCCTTTGCATTTGGTTCACCCTCCAATGGCCGCTGCGGCCAGTGCGATGCACCGGCTGCATCCGAAGCCAGGATGGCTTTCTGTCCGGCGCCCTGACAAGGGACTAGAACCTGGTGTGCCGGCACCGCAGGCGGAGGATTAGCCTAGTGAGCCACAGTGCCGGCCACACAGATGTCCTTTTAAGATCACCTGTTGTGTGTCAGGTTGGGGAGAGACCCACTGGAAGAGAGAATGATGTAGCAGTTTGGCAGTGGCAGTGATAGAGGCCAATGCACTAGGGGTTTGGGGAGCATAACGGACAGGTGAGTGCCTTCCCCAGCCTCTCGGGGCAGGGCAGGCTTCCTGGAGGAAGGGCCACTTGAGCAGAGGGTAGACGAATGGGGACAGGGCGGGCATCCTGGACCATGGGAAGAACATGAGCAGGAAGACGGGGTGAGGACAGTCAGGAGGGCTCGAGGGCTCTGAGTGCTGGTGCGAGGCTGGAGCTCAAGTGCAAGACAGGGCATGTGCGCTCGGGATGGGGGGTGCGCAGGGCACCCTCCTGCGAGCGTCCGGAGGCTTTGTGGGTTTCAGGCAGGGCTGTGATGGTGGCACATGGAACGCCCCTTTGGCAGCCTCATGGGGAACCTTGGAAGGATCACGCCCGGTGCTGGGGAGACCAGTTGGGAAAGCCAGACTGTGGTTCAATGTGGGGTGCGCTTGGAGCAGTGGTCATGGGGCTCCCGGTGTGTTGGTGTAAATTGGTGCTGGGTGTAGCAAGGTGCCTGGGATTCGTGGGCTGTGAGGAGGGTGCCCACGACTGAGGCAAGGCTGGGAGCCGGGGAAACTGGGTGGAAAAGGTAGGGCGGCCCCTCCTGGGAATGGAGTCGGGGGCGGGATTCCGAGTGAAGGTGGGGCTTGCCCCTGGCGGGCAGTGGGAGTCAGACGGGCAAGAGCCCGAGTGCCATGTCATTGGTCCAGGGTGAAGAGAAACAAGAGATGGCCTGGACCCAGGGTGTATTATGAAGGCCGAGGTACAGGGGAGGGCAAGGAGGGAGCTGGTGAGAGCAGCCCAGAGCCTTGTCTGGGGCCCAGGCTGGGAGGGGATGGAGAGGCAGCGAGAGAAAGGGCAAAGGCCTGGGGGATCCCCGAGGTCACAGTGTTTGGGGGTAGGTGACGGGATAGATGGAGCAGCAGAGGCCAAGGGCAGAGAGAGGGAGGCGGGAGGTGGGAGATTTCCCGGGAGGATGACCCGGCAATGTCGCGTGGCTGTGGTGGGCAGGTCAGTCATGGTCAGCCCTGAAGAAGTCTGGGGTGGAAGGCTCAGTGTGGGGTGGATGTGGTGTCTACGTGGGCATTGGATCTGGGGCCATGGCGGGTGTTGGGGAGGGGCAATGACCGAGGCAGTCCCCTGGGTCTTCAGGGATTGGTGGTGGGGGTGACAGGCAGTTGGCAGCAGCAGCGATGGTTGGTTCGGGGGAAAGAGCAGTATAGCAGGCAGCGGGTTTTCTACAGGTAGGGTGGGGATTTGGTCTCAGGCAGGCTGTGGAGGAGGACCAGGTCCCGCTGGAGGGGAAGAGCCGAGTCCCTGGGACCCGCCTGGTCACCTTGTCATCTGTGAGATGGCTAGGGCAGGGGAGGTTGTTAGCAGCAGGAGGTGGAGAGGCTGAGAGGGTTAATAGTGAGAGGTTCTGGGGCCGGCGCTGTGGCATAATGGGTAAAGCCGCTGCCTGCAGTGCTGGCATCTCATATGGGTGCCGGTTCAAGACCTAGCTGCTCCACTTCCAATCCAGCTCTCTGCTATGGCCTGGGAAAGCAGTAGAAGATGGTCCAAGTCACTGGGCCCCTGCACCCACATGGGAGACCTGGAGGAAGCTCCTGGCTCCTGGCTTTGGATCATCTCAGCTCCAGCCATTGTGGCCAATTGGGGAGTGAACCAGTGATGGAAGACCTCTCTCTCTGCCTCTCTCTCTCTGTCTCTCTCTCTCTATCTGCCTCTCCTCTGTCTGTGTAACTCTGACTTTCAAATAAATAAATAAATCTAAAAAAAATAGTGGGAGGTTCTGAGGAAGAGAGAACTGAGCAGACTGGAGAAAGGCAGCTTCCTTTTCACTCAGTGACTGCGGGTTGCACTCATTTTTGAAAATAAGAAAAGGTATGAGATAGATCGTGCATGTTTCAGATACCAAGCGTGTAGGCCCCACGAGGGCAGAAGTGTTCCTTGCACAGCTGCGTCACCAGGACCTGGAGCAGCCTCTGCACACAGCAGATGCTCTCTGCATAGTTGTTGCGTGACTCCGCGTGTGGCCAGAGTCGCGGCGCAAACCCGAGGATGCGTCTGCAAGGCGTTCATCCTGGCCACAGTGGCTTTGTTGTTGCTCTTCTTTCTTTTTTCTTATTTGTCTGACAAGGAGAGAAGGATAGAGAGACAGACAGAGGGAGAGCCCTCCCAAGTGCTAGTTGACTCCCCAAATGCCCACAACAGCCAGGATTGGGTTGAGACCAAAGACAGGGACTCAGTCTAGGTCTCCCATGAGGGTGGCAGGATCCCAGGTATTTGAGCCATTGCCACTGCCTCCCAGGGTCTGCGTTAGCAGGAAGCTAGAGTCAGGAGCCCGAGCCAAGAATCACAGCCAGGTACTGCAAAGTGGGATGCAGGATGCAGGTATCTTAAGTGCTGGTCCAACCACCTGCTCTTTCTTTTTCAAATGTAGGGTGTAGGCAGCACCTCCTCCTTCCTCATTTCCATGGCTTTCCCTCCCTACAGGTAAACAATGGTTTATCTTTTTATCTTTTTTTTTTTAAAAAGATTTATTTATTTATTTGAAAGTCAGAGTTACACAGACAGGAGAGGCAGAGAGAGAGAGAGAGAGAGAGAGAGAGAGAGAGAGAGAGAGGTCTTCTATCCCCTGGTTCACTCTCCAATTGGCTGC